GGCACACTTGAGATTCGTGAACAAAGGATCAACAAGAAGACTCCCTCAAGTTCTCTAGAGCAAGCTCTTCAATCAAAGCTATCTTTCAGAGATGACAAAAACGAGCAAGTGGGGACATCACAAAGAAGCCGAGGAAGAGGTCGTGGTTACAATAACCGAAGTTCTAGTTTCCAAGGAAGAGGTGGAAGAGGTGGAAGAGGTCCAGCCAGAGGAGAAAGAAGTCAACCACACTTTGCTCCAAGAGGAAAAGCAAGAGATAGAGGAGGTGGTTATAACAACCGACCAGGATTTGACAAAATTAATGTTCAGTGCTACCAATGCCACAAGTTCGGGCATTACAACAATGAATGCCGAAGTAGAGCAACAACAGAAGCCGGAGAGTAAGCAAATTTTGCCGAGGAAGAAACAAACAAAGTTGGACGTATAGTCCTGTTTGTCCATCATGGAGACACTACAAAACCAAAACAATATTTGGTATCTAGATTCGGGAGTCAGTAATCACATGTGTGGTAAAAGAGAGTTGTTCGTTAAGCTTGACGAGACTGTACAAGCACAAGTCTCATTTGGCGATTTTTCAAAGACTCCGGTGAAAGGAAGATGTAATATTCTGATCAAGCTCAAGAATGGAGATCATGATTATATCTCCAATGTTTATTATGTTCCTACCATGAAGAACAACATTTTGAGTATGAGACAACTTCTAGAGAAAGGATACGACATCAACGTGAAAGATTGTCATCTTACCATCAAAGACAATCATGGTAATTTGATCGCTCGGACAAGAATGTCCAAGAATTGGATGTTTGCATTGAACATCCAACATGCTGCTACGAAGTGTTTAAGTGCCATCATCAAAGACAAAGATTGGCTATGGCATTTGAGGTTTGGACATCTCAACTTTGGAAGCTTGAAGCAGTTGTCAAGCAAGAATATGGTGAATGGGCTTCCTCATATTGCTCATACTAATGAAGTTTGTGAAAGCTGCATTCTTGGCAAGCATCACAGAACTAGCTTTGCCAAAGAAGTGAAGTGGAGAGCAACAAAGCTGCTGGAGCTAGTGCACGCTAATGTGTGTGGTCCATTGAAGCCAATGTCAAATGGACATAATAGATATTTTCTCACCTTCATTGATGATTATAGCCAGAAGACATGGGTGTATTTTCATAAAAGAAAGTTGGAGGTGTTCAATATCTTCAAAGAATTCAAAGCTTTTGTAGAGAAGCAAAGCGGCTACTACATCAAGACATTGCGATCAGATCAAGGTAGAGAATATACATCATATGTTTTCGAGAATTTTTGCAAAGAGTATGGAATCAAGCATCAAACAACACCATCCTATATGCCACAGCTGAATGGTGTTGCTGAAAAGAAGAATCACACAATCTTAGATATGGCAAGAAGCATGTTGAAAGGAAAGGAACTGCCCAAGCAATTTTGGGTTGAAGCCGTATCATGTGCTGTGTATCTACTAAATAGATGCCCAACCAGGAGCCTTCATTCTATGACTTCAAAAGAAGCTTGAAGTTCACATAAGCCAAGTGTCAACCATCTCAGAATATTTGGGTGTGTTACGTACACCAAGATTCCAGAAGCAAGAAGCACCAAGCTCGATGATAAGAGAGAAAAATGTATCTTTGTCGGATATGAAGATAGAACAATGGGATACAAGTTGTGTAATCCCATTACCAGAAAGGTGATCATGAGTAGAGATGTGATATTTGAAGAAGAAGAAGCTTGGAACTGGAATCAAGATGAAGTTGTTAAAGGTACAGAACTTATTCTTGAAGATGAAACATCAAAAGCTCCGGTTAAAATCACAAGAGAAGTTCAAGATGAGCCACAAACTCTTCTACATAGAATACTAGCACCTAGATCGCCAGTTTCTCACAGAAGTGTTGCATCATCATCATTATCAGCATCATTAGATGATAGTTTTTTTAAACAACCAAGACCAATGAGAAATTTGCAAGAGATATATGAAGCTACAGAAGAAGCAGATCTGAATTTGTTCTGCCTACTTACAGATAGTGATCCACTTACTTTCTCAGAACCATCTAAGAAGATAAATAGAAGAAAGCAATGGATGAAGAAATTCATGCCATTGAGAAAAATGACACATGGAAGCTTACCAGTCTACTGAAGGGGCATAAACCCATTGGAGTGAAATGGGTATACAAGACAAAGAGGAATGCACAAGGCGAAGTGCAACGCTACAAGGCAAGATTAGTGGCAAAAGGTTACAAGCAGAGAGCTGGAATTGACTATGGAGAGGTGTTTGCTCCAGTTGCTCGGTTGGAGACTGTAAGGCTAATGATTTCTTTTGCTGCCCAGTGCAAGTGGCAGATTTATCAACTTGATGTGAAATCTGCATTTCTTAACGGTTTCCTTGAAGAAGAAATCTATATTGAACAACCTTCAAGGTATGTTCAGAATGGGCACGAAGACAAAGTGTACAAATTGAAGAAAGCACTTTATGGATTGAAGCAAGCTCTGCATGTATGGAATACTAGAATTGATTAGTATTTTCATGACAATGGTTTTGAAAAATGTTAATATGAGCACACACTATATTTAAAAAAGGAAGCTGATGGAAGCATGTTGCTTGCGTGTCTTTATGTTGATGATCTAATTTTCACCGGAAACAATCCAGTCATGTTCAAAGACTTTAAAAGAAGCATGGTCCAAGAATTTGAAATGATAGATATTGGATTGATAGCTCATTTTCTTGGCATTGAAGTGGCACAAAGAAAAGATGGAATTTTTATTTCCCAAAGTGGTTATGCCAAAGAAATTCTCAAAAGATATGGAATGGAGAATTGCAATCCAGTGAACACTCCTGTAAACAGTAGAGTGGAGCTTAGAAAAGGTACGAAGGCAGGTGATGTGGATCCAACTTATTTCAAGAGCCTAGTTGGAAGTCTTCGCTATCTTACTTGCACCAGGCCAGACATACTCTATGGAGTAGGATTGATTAGCAGATATAAGGAAATACCGGATCAGTCACACCTTTATGCAGCAAAGAGGATTCTTCGCTACATCAAAGGTATAGTCGATGATGGTTTATTCTATAAACCAACTGATAACTTCAGTCTTGTTGGCTACTCAGATAGCGACTGGGGACGTGATTTGGATGAATGAAAAAGTACTACGAGATTTACTTTCTTTATGGGAGACACAACCTTCACATGGTCGTCCAAGAAGCAAGCCATTGTGACATTATCAACTTGCGAAGCTGAGTGTGTTGCAGCCAACTCAGTTGCATGCCATGCAATATGGTTATGGAACATGCTGAAGCATTTGGGATTTCCACAAGAAAAACCCACTAAGATCTATGTTGATAATCGCTTAGCAATTGCATTGGCAAAGAACCCAGTTTATCATAAAAGAAGTAAGTATATTGACACCTGCTATCATTTTATCCGAGAGCATGTGAAAAATAAAGAGGTAGAATTATTTTCTTGCAAATCTCAAGAACAGCTTGCAGATATTTTCACGAAGCCATTGAAAAATGATCTGTTCAACAAAATAAAGATAATGCTCGGGAAGAAGCCGCATGGAGAATCAAAATTAAGGGGGGATGTTGTGAAGTAATCTTGATTGTTTGTCAAAAATGGAGGCTAAAATTCAATGTGTTGCCTGCTAGCGTATACACATTAAATGTTTTCATACTGATAGCTGTTTGCAATAAATATGTTCACACTGCTAGTTTATCTATATATATAGCTATGTGTGTTGAAGAATTTAGAGTGTGGGAGAAAGAAAGGAAGAGTGCTCTGTTTGTATGTTTTTTTTCCTTAGAATTATTTTGAGTGAATTTAAATTTCAGATTGGTTGAGTTTTAAACCTTTCATTGTGAATCACCAACAGTGGTTTGCACTCCACTCCCACCAACAGTGTGCGCCTTATGCACTGCGCCAGAACCACCATTAATTTTGTCTCTAGAAATGTGCTCCTGAGACCTTAATTTGTTCATGATCGACCCTGGCCTAAGGTTAGTGAAGCATGTGCCTTAGGTCCTAAAATTTTGGCCTAAAATAGGGATTCTCAAATTTAGTAAAATGTTATAGGCTCATTGTTTTTATTTTTATTTTAAGATCAATTTAAAGGGCCCAAAAAATTTTTTATTGGGTCCATATTTATAAGTATGGTTTAACCCATATTTATTTATTATTGTGGTTTGGCCATATTTATTAAAACGAAAATATATATCAAAAAAAAAAAAAGTGTTTGGGGCCTAAGAAGAACAATACATACAATACATTGCTTAGTGCTCTCTCTCTCTCTCTCTCTCTCTCTCCCCCATGCAGTGATGAAGAAGAAAGCATATACCAAGCACGCATTAAGCAAGGCAGACGCAGAGAGCACTGAGCGAGTCGGCGACTCTCTCTCTCTCTCTCACACACACACACTCGTCCGGCGACTCATTGTCTCTCACATACACACTCTCTCTCATAGTAAGTCCTATATCTCACTATCAGATCTTATTAAATAAAGTTGCCATAATTTTTTTCTACATTCTTTCTTTATCAGTTAGTAGAATAATAAATTTGTCATAATTTTTTTTACCTTCTTTATCTATTAGATTTTAGTGGAATAAATAATTTTGTCCTAATTTGTTTACCCAGGTCTTTATCAGTTTTAATTGAATAGTTTTTTCTTAATTTTTTTGCCCTAATTTTGTTTCATTAAATTATTTTTTTATAATTTCTTTGCTATCAGATATGAGATAATCAGTGGATTGTAATTTGTGGATTGAAATGTGATTAGAGTCATGTTTCTTAGGAAGTTTAGTTCTGGAAATGAAAATAGAAAAAAGAAGATGAAAGTAGAACAAAAAAAATTATGTATAGAATTAGGAAGTATACTTATCATTTTATGCACAAATTTTTTTATTAAAAAAATTTATATTAGAGGGGCTCTATTTTCATAATTCGCCTTAAACCTTAACAATCTCAGGGCCGGCCTTGAATTTGTTCTAGTATAATGGATAGAATAATTACCGCAGAAGTTCCAAGGTCTTTGCAAAGTCGAATGATCATTGATGTACAATGCACAAGATCATCACTCTTTGCCAAAATATTTACAAGCTCTTCCCTTGTTGTCTCTTCCATTACAGAGAAAAATGCATGCTGAGAAAGAATGGGTCCGGATGACGAAACCCACCTGTTTTCAAGATACTCATCTAGGGTTGGTGTGTAACCCTTGTTGTACCACCTTGCTTCCACAAGTAATGCTTTGCAAAAGTCTACCCACTGTCCAAAAAAAAAAAAAAAAAAGAAAAAGAAAAAAAGGGTTTTCATTAACAAACTCAAACTCTATTTGCTTCGATGAGAAATATTTTTCCAAAATATGATTTCCACATTTTTTTTTATTTAGTATTTGCGACCTTGAAAATGAGACGACAGTGCATGTTAAAGAAGTGGTGTTGATGGCGGCAATGGCAGAGATGTGGGGTGGTAGTGGTTGCTGCACGATGGTGGCAATGGTAAGTGTAGACACTTTTGAAAGTTTAAAGCCAAAATCTCAAATGAGACTAATTTATTTACTATTTATTATTTTTTTAACATTGTACAATTTTTTATGTGAAACACATTTTTTTTTTAATAATATCTATTCTTGTATTTTTTTTTTTTTTGATTCAAAGGAAGTTCAAAACAACCAGAAGCAGAACCAACATAGGAAACCAAAGAAAGAAGATAAACTAATCCCTCAAAACAACAGACGAGCAGAAACAGCACAGGAAAACAAAGAAAGAAGAACAACTAATCCCTCAAAGCACTAGTTCCAGTCATGTCAGCAATGAGCAGAGCCTTCACTTCTTCAGGGGGTTCTTCAAGGACTAGAACATGGTCATCTTGTGATACACCCATGTTGGCAAGCCAATCAGCACACTTGTTTCCCTCCCTTGGTGTATATTGCAGGGAACAGTTGCATCTTCTCAGCAAGAATTTTGCATCCTCTATGAGGGCTTTGTATAGAGAGTTAAGGCACGGGCCATTCTGTAACTGATTGATGGCCAGCTCCGAATCTGACTCAATAACCACATCCTTGGTGCCCTTTTGGAATAATATTGTGAGTCCCCTGTAAATTGCCCACAGTTCCGCTTCGAGACTATAACAGTGGCCCAATTTTCCATAGAAACCCCAGAGCCACAGTCCCGTATCATCCCGCAGCAGCCCCCCATAACCAGCTTGGCCTGGATCACCTTTGGAGCAGCCATCAACATTCAGTTTAAGAGTTCCTGCAGAAGGGCAAAGCCAATGAATTAGTCTAGGATGATGGGGCCTGGGGTGGAGGACAGATTGATAGGCCTCATCAATCTCGTGAACATAGTTCCTTATGCTCTTGAGACTGAATTGAATGGAAGGATTGAGATTATCAAACACTAATCTATTGCGATCATTCCAAATTTGCCAAAGAGTAATTATGAAAACCAGTTGCCATTTTTTATGAAAATAGTCACTTTTAATTTGCACATTAGAGGTAATCCATTCAAGAATAGGCCTATCACATCCTTCCTCCCACCAAATCCTATCCTTAATTGCAATCCAGAGGTTTTGAGAGGTGGTGCAGGTTCTGAATAAGTGATTCAAATCTTCACTTGTCAACCCACATCTAGGACAAATGTCAGATGTGGTCATGTTCCTCACAAGTCTCAGCTGGTTTGTTAGCAGCCTCTGTTTTAGGATAAGCCACAAGAAGCATTTCAGTTTTTGGAGAAACTTTAATTTCCAAATCCATGTCCAAGCCCTCCCATCACTTTCTTGTGCTGTAATGAGTTGATAAGCTGATGCTGCAGTGAAGTTGCCACAGGTTGATCCAATCCAAACAGGAGAATCTGTGTATGTAACAAATCGAGGCCTGTGAATTTTAATAATTTCTTGAATATCATGGGGTTGTAGAATGTTGTCCAAAGCACCTATGTCCCAATCACCCTCATCATTGATGATGGAACTGACTTTCTGGAGGGTATTGTTCTTTTGGGAGGGGTAAGAATTAAGTAAAGCTTGTTTCCCGCACCACCAGTCACCCCACAGAGATATGCGCTCACCATTACCCACATTCCATTTAACTCCCCTCTTCAAATGATCTCTATTTTTGCACATGCTTTTCCAGATATGTGAAGAACTTCTCTTGATGGGCCAGCTAAAAAAGGAGTGCTTCCCCATATACTTGGACTGCAACACCTTACACCATAATTTCTCCTTGTCACAAAGCAACTTCCATCCAAGTTTGGTCAATAATTAAGATGGTTTATACGTACTTTAATTATTATTGGTTTTATTTTGTTAGATTTTAAGATAATAACTTTTTTGAAACATTTACAAAAAAAAGAAAAAATTCAAAGTTTTAACCTTGTAACAAAATAAATCTTATACTTTCAATTTTATCAATTTAAATCCTAATATCTTGATTGTTTTCAATTTAAACCATTCACCTATTTTTTTTCAAATAAATAAATAAATAAAATGGGTATTTTAGTCATTAAACTTAATAAAAGGTATATTTTAGACATTTTATATATAGACAAAGATACTAAAATAACTAAAATACCTACATTTAGTTTAATAATTAAAATACTCTTTTTCCATTAGTTTTATTTAATGAAAATAGGTGAATGATTTAGATTGAAAACAAATCAAAAGATTGTAGTTTAAATTGATAAAATTAAAAACTCAACATTTATTTTGTTATAAGCGTCAAATTATAGTTTTTTTTTTTAATTATTTTTTCCTGACTTTTTTCTTGCTCAACCCTGAGTAAAGAATGCGACATATTCATCATTAACTATTTAGGGACAATAGACAATGACAATATTTATTTTTCTGGTAGGGAGATTTGGTTGTGTTGAGCCTCCGGACGAGGAGAGTTTATTATTTTGCTTAGTTATTGTGAAGATTCTTTCATTTGGTTACGAAAAAATTATAAACAAGAGGGTTCAAAATTTTTGCCCCAACTTTGTAGGGCCTTTCATAGGCCTTTGTTAAGAGGTGCATGGACCTTGTGGTTTCTTGCATTTGTAAAAATTTCGTTTATTATTATTATTGTTATTCCTTTTTATCATGACTTTATTTTTTATTTGTAATTGGTTTACAACAACATGTTCTAAATATGGGGCCTTGAAATGAAGAGCCATGAGGCTTAAAGCAAATGTTTGCTTTGAGCTTTAGCAGCTCAAGGGTGGTGGGGTGGTGGAAACGTTTTTCTAAGTAACTCAAACTTTGCACATATTTTTCTATGGCATATTTAAAAAGTAATATGTCAGTGGTTGTGATAAATGTAATGGGGGTAAGAATAGGGGTAATAACAGTAGCAATGGTAGGAGAGATAGAGAGACGGTGAAGGTGGCTATAATAATTGTAGGGTGACAATACTTATAGTATACCTTAGCAAGATTTGCACCAGAATATATTTTTCACCTAACTAATAAGTTTATTTTTTTATTGGATACGAAATTATTATTATTATTATTTTTTTGTTATCTAAAGAAGCATATTTTCTATTGAATGACTTTTGTTTTCTGTCATATCAAATATCAGAAAATATTTTAAAAAGAAATTAAAACATTTTTGTCATTTTTAGAAAATATTTTCTGTTGAAACAAACTTAACATAAATCATGGTGAGTGAATGGAAATTAAAAGAAGAAATGAAAAGTACCACTTTGTGCAGATAAGGTAATACTGAGTTCTTCCAACCCTTTTCTTCCTGAATTTCATAAGCAACTTCATTAGTGGTGTTGTAGAGTGCCTGAAAGCAAATCTTCATGCACTCTGGAAGTTGTTGAATTTCCTTGTCATCCCACCTGATGTCATTATTTTTATTAGAATCTCTTAAACATCAATTAAAAGTAGCCTATGGTTCTTTTATGAGTAATTTTAAAATTTCAAAAAAAAAAAAAAAAAAAAAAGAAAGAAAAGAAAGGAAAAAAGAACACTATATGACATGTACATGGTGATTTTCTGGCTAAATTTTTAGAAGGCTAAGATTATTTGTTCTCGGATCTTTGTGGCATCTTGTTCCAAAACATTCCCAGCTATTAAATTATGTTAGAATTTCAAAATGTAAGAATCTCAGGCATAATCTAACTGTTGTTAACTTGTGAATGTTCTAAGCTAGAATGATAGAGAAATTTAAGATTTTCTAGCTAAATACTTTTTTGAAGGCTAAAGATCATGTGTTCTAGACGGGGACGGAACCAGGATTTTATCACCTCAGGGACCAAAAGAAGAATAATATTTTTTATTATATAGACAAACACACATGTATGTACAATACGATATACAAATTAATATATACACATAAAAAAATTCAAATATCATAGAAATAGAGAGGCCATGACCCCCATAGTCTTTCCTAGTTTCATTCTTGGTTTGTAACCTTTTATTCCAAAACATTCACGGTTAAAATATAGAAATCTCGAAACATAAGTTACTGTGAGCGTTCTAAGACAAAATGATAAGAGTGGTCTAAGACAAACGTTTCCATATCTTTTTTGAGTATTTAGAATTACTCTTTGGTGAATATTTGTGAAGACTAACCTTTCAACTGAATTGGTGAAGCATTCTAGTTCTTCCAATGAGCCATAAACATCATAAATATCATCAATTATTATGATGAAATTTATGGCTTTTGTTAGCCATTTTCTAAAACTGTTATGTTGAGGCTCAAAAGCAACTCCCACTGCCCACAAATAACTTTCAACCAGTCGATTCCTTGCAAAGCTCAAGTTTTCTACTAGAGATAGATTCTTCCACCACCTACATTTCACAGAATAATAAGATGTTTCGTTATTATTAATTCAAAAATTCTACTAATACAGGAATAAAACACAAAAGAAATTACGAAGGAGAAACAAGGTGGCAATACATTTTTAAAATATGATAGTTTAAATAATATTATCTTAATATTGAAAATAATCTAAAAACATGACAATTTTTCTCATATTAATGATTTAGATTTTTTTTTTTGAAATTTAAATGTTTCAAAAGAGATTTTAAAGTTATAGAAAACACACAATTTTTTTTGATAGGCAATTTAATTTATTTATTTTTTTAATTAGTAGTAAAACATTAAAAAAAAAAATTTAAAATATGATAGTTTAAATAATATTATCTTAATATTGAAAATAATCTAAAAACATGACAATTTTTATTAATGATTTAGATTTTTTTTTTTTTTTTGAAATTTAAATGTTTCAAAAGAGATTTTAAAGTTATAGAAAACACACAATTTTTTTTGATAGGCAATTTAATTTATTTATTTTTTTAATTAGTAGTAAAACATTAAAAAAAAAAACACTACATAATTGATGTACTAAATTATATGAACGTATTACAAAAAATTTCAAATGCATGCATTACTTACAGAATATTATTTATTAGCAATACATGTAATTGTTGTTTCTACATAAAGAAAATTTTCAAAATTAAAACTGAAAAAATTCTACCTAAGATCGACTATGTCACAAAAGAGTGTATCAACATGCCATGAATTAAAAAAAGATATGTTAGCAAAATTTACTGTGAAGATTTAATTATTAATTTTGCATCTCCAAAAGCTTTAAAAAAATTTTTTTAAAAAAATGTCAATATTACATTTGATATTATCTCTTTAAGTCTCAAACTATTTTGAACCACCTTTCTACCTCAAGCCTATCCACTCTCGCAAATGTAAAGTTTTTTGCACGTGTTTAATTGTTGTGGATATAGAACAAATATTAGAGCATCTTCAATTAATCGGTTAAAATTGTGTTAAAATATGTGTTAACAAGTAAAAAGTGAGATAAGTAAGGCCTATTTTTATGTTTTAAATATTAATTTAGTGAATATATGGCTCTCTGTTTTGGTGTTTTCAATCTAGGAAAAAAAAAAACAAAAGAAAAGAAAAAAAAGTTAACGTACGTCTGGGAAATCCCTTCGGTACTTTGTTACAAATTTTTGTGAGATATATTATGCAATTTTTGGGACAAATGTTACATAATTTCATAATAGAATTATAACAATTGATGGTTCAGAAATGAAATTACGTATTTTGTGGTAACATTATGCATATTTGTACAACAACAACAACAACAACAATAATAAATGGATGAGGTGGTTTCTCGTGGAGGTTGGCAACCGGTCTTTCGTCGTCGTGGAATGATAAAGGCTACAAGGGACTTAAAGGGAGGGAAGTTATTTACAGTATTTGTGGATAACATCCCTGAATCAATGAATCCGAAAAGCCTGTTTCAGTTGTTTGCAAAGTTTGGCATTGTTAAGGACGTGTTTATCCCAAAGAAAAGGAGAAAGATCACTGGTTCGAGGTTTGGCTTCGTTAGGTACGATTGTTCGGTTGCAGCTGAGATGGCAGTTCAAAGAGCGGATGGACTGTGGTGTGATGATAAAGCACTGAGGGTTAAAGGGGCTGAGTTCAAGAGGGAAGACCCTGGAAAAATCAAACAGTCTGAGGGCACCAACCAGAGGGCTCAAAATATGGTTAGGAACAGACACTGGGCTGATCACAGAGGAGGTAAGCAGATTAAGCAGGACCTTGGAGGGCCAAAATCATATGCGGAGGTAGTTGGAAAAGGTGTGGCGCAGGGTAGAGAGGAAGTGGTGGTTCACGCTTCAGAAGAGGGTAATGGGTGGCTGTATGAAAGCCTGATAATCAAGCTGCATACTTTCTTTTCCTTTTCAGCTTTCAAAGAGGAATGTCAGAAGAGGGGTCTTCAGGAGGTATTAGTGAGAGCCGGTGAAGGTAGACTTGTAATCCTAACGTTCCCATCAGTTATGGAGTTGAAAAGACAGAAAGAGGTAATTAAGGAATGGATTTTTGACTAGTGTAGCTCAATGGAGGAGTGGGATCCGAGATGTAGTGTTATCCAAGAACGGTGTGTTTGGATTAACTGCTTTGGAGTTCCTTTCAATTTATGGAGTGTGGCTACATTCAAAAGTATAGGGGCTGTCTGGGGAGAAGTAGTGCAGGTGCATGAGGATACTATCAAGCATGTCTCTTTTTGCTGTGGGAAAATACGAGTCATCACAAAGTCCATGGAGCTTATCAATAGGACTGTTCGGTTGAGTTGTAAGGGAGTCCTGTACCCAGTAAGGGTTTATGAATGTCCTGAGTTTGTGGAGATGTCAGCGAGCAGTAAGAGCTGCTCTGTTAATGGATGGAAGATGCCCATAGGCCTTCAGGGTGAGGAGAAGAGGGATAGATATTCCAATGTTGGAGGGGATCAGAGAAGCAGCGTAGTGAAGACCAGAGGGATTGAGGTCAGGGATGATGAGGTGGCCTGCAGTGATGAGGTGGACCAATGTAGCAAGAGCATGTTACTAAGAGATGGAAGCCACGTAGCAGTGCAGCCTAGGGGAGAGATGAATGGTGCAGGTTCTGATAGTCAGGTGCCAGAAACATGCTTGCTTGTTACCGAGGGGAAGGTGGAGAAACTAAACAATGGGGTGAGCTGGCTGGCAGGGGAGCAGCTGCAGCTGCAGATGGAGACTTCAAGAAGAATGTTTGGGGAAGTAGTGGGTGCAGAGGATGTTGTGCCTACTGGGTTTGTTAAAAGCCTTAGTGGGTCTGATGAAATTGGGCCGAGTATCAATAGTGAGGTAGTGCTAGAAGGGGCTCGGTTAAGAGGTGATCAAAGTGGGCCTGCAGCTTTAAACAATAACAGGGAGGTTGGCAGAGTTCATAGTGTTGAAGCCCAGCCCAAGCTGAATCAAAGAAGGGTGCTAGGTGGTCCAAGTAATGAAGCTGTGCAGCTAACAGTATACAAACCAGAACCGGTGGAGAGAAATGGTCGTATTCGAAAGAGGATGGGCAGCGCTGGAGGAACCAGAGGAAGGGGGAAAAGGAGAGCTCAAAGCACCCAAACGTCGTTCGTATCTGGGTTCAATAGAGGAGCTGTATTGAGGGCAGCAGCTGCGGCTTTATCTCAGTCCTTGTCTAAAGAAAGTCAGGAGCGTAGGAGGAGGAAGAAGAGAGTGGAGGAAGCAAACGAAATCCTGCAGCTTGGTAACCGATTGGGGATGAACTGTGAAGGTAAAGAGGCTGAAGTACTTCAGAGAATAGTAGAGATGGAGCAACAAGATGAAGATCGTTTGGCAAAGGAGATAGGGGGTGTGTTGGGTCCAGCGTAACCGATTAAAAGCTTGGGGTTTACTTAGGAGAGTTAATAGTTATAAATGAAGATCATGTCCTGGAATGTCAGAGGGTTGGGTAGGGCAGATAAACGACGGAGAGTTAGGCAGGTTATTCAGGATAGAAAGGTGGATGTCCTGCTTCTTCAAGAAACAAAAAAAAGTAGTGTGGATGAGTTGTTTGTTCGCTCAGTTTGGCCTTGGGAGAGGATGGCGTTTATGGCGGTTGATTCTGACGGTAGTGCTGGAGGGCTATTGAGCATATGGAATACAGAGGTGTTTCAACTAAAGGAGTGTTGCGGTCATAGAAATTTCTTGCTCTTATCAGGTGTAACTCTTAATTCCTTTGAATGTGTTTTTTTAAATGTGTATGGGCCTAATGATGTGTCTAAAAGAGCAGAGTTATGGGCCACATTTGGTAATATTAGAACTAGTTTCCATAGACCCTGGTGTATGGGAGGGGATTTTAATGTTATTAGAAATATAGAGGATAGAAGAGGCTGTGCAAGGAGAGACAGAGGAATGGTAGAATTTAATAATTTCATTGACCAAATGGAGTTGGTGGAAATTCCTTTGCTAGGCAGAAGATTTACGTGGTGTAACTCCATGGCGGGAGAGCGGTGGAGTAAGATTATAGGTTTCTGCTGGACGTGGTATGGTTGGAAAAGTTCAGGTTTCAGATGTGGGGTCTTCCCAGAGTGGTATCTGATCACTGCCCACTTCTGTTGATGGAAGATGAGAGGAATTGGGGGCCTAGACCATTTAGGTTCCTTAATGCTTGGACATTGCACCCAGGTTTCATTTCAGTGGCTCAAAAAGCGTGGTCGAAGAATCAAGTTCAAGGCTGGGCTAGTTATAGACTGCAAAGAAAGTTAGGTGGTATGAAAGTGGAATTGAAAAAATGGAACAGTGAAGTTTTTGGCCTGGTAGAAGAACAACTAAAAAAAGCAGAGGAGGAGTTGCATGAACTCGACCTGTTAGCAGAGTCTAGGGAGTTGACATCCGATGAGATTGAATCCAGAAGGGAGACAAAACATTTGGTTTGGAAGCTTAGAAAAAGAAAGGACTGGCTATGGTTCCAAAAGTCTAGGTTGAATTGGGCCCAACTTGGGGATAAGAACACAAGGTACTTTCACATTTTACTATTTTTGTATTATTTTTCTTTTGAACTTTAGTTGTGTACCTTGAGAAACATTGAAGCCATGCCTAAGAATCCTAAAGAATAGAGCATTAGCATAGATACCCTCTTCCGTAATGGGATGGTTGTTCTTAAAAGCTACAATGGTGTCTAGAGCTTCTTTGATTTCCACTTCAAATAGGTTGGCAAGACCTAGTTTTTCTATGCTGTCTATGAACTCTAACTTAGCCACAAGGTCCACTGCCTCAATGACCATGCACATAACATCCTCTTTCAGCTTCTCAACTTGTCTTTTGCATTCTTCTTCCTGCACATTGACAAATAATAAACATTCTCATTTTATTTATTTTTTTTGTAAATAATAATATGTGAAAGGTAAACTTGTGGTCGTTGTAATTATCATCTTGTGTGAATAATGTAATTGTAATAAGAAATGAGAAAATAATATGTCATTCACCACACATTTGATATTTAGGACTACATCTATTTATAGTTCATACAAGAGAGTTGGTTAAGAAGTTGTTACAACAAATTCTAACTAACTGAACAAACTCTAAACTAACAGATACTAACTGAACCTACACTGTGGCTGTTGTGACTTCAA